TAAACGAACGCGGAAGTTGAAGTAGATTCTGTGTGTGTTGCAATTGGCCCGTTTGGACCCGGCGCGAAATCTTGTAAAAGCTCAGAGGCAGGATGAGAGCTCACAACCGTTAATAGAGCTAGCGAAGGCAAGGAGGCGGAACGGCGCGGATTATTTTTATAGAACGCGGCCTATTGTTTCCGGAACGGCAAAGCAAGCGCGTGGAGATCTCTCCATGCTTGTGACTCTCCGGGCGCGTGTATCGTGGCACGATTTTGAACTCTGCCATGAAGTTGCCCACGGACATTAGCGGGTCCACGAAGAGCAAAGACGCGATGGCCAAGTATTCTTTTTGGCCGAATTGTTATAAAGATATGGAAAATTTCGTGCGCAGCTGCGATAGTTGCCAACGAGTAGGTACGGCGGCGAGAAGCTTCGCGCACCTTTAAAATTGTACCAATAAACGGGCGAGGCGTTCGAGAAAGTAATGTCGACGCGTGTGGCCATTTTCCAGAGTCTGAATCAGGAAATAAGTTTTATACTCACTGCCATGTGTTTAGCCACAAAATATCCTGAGGCTATTCCCATACGTGATCTGACGACGGTACAGTAATTGAAGCTTTATTAGACCTGTTGAGTCGGATTGGATTTCCGCGAGAGCTGCCAAACGGATCAAGGAACTTGTTTCACCAGCACTCCTGATGGCGGAATTCGCCGAGATATTCTGCATCAGATTAATTAGGAGTTCGCCTTACATCCACCAGTCAAATGCCGTAGAACGAATGCACAGAACATGAACCGTCTAATGAAGGTTCTCTTTTAGAAGCGGGAACGGATTGGGAGACCAGCTCCTGCGATTATGTTCGCTCTACGCGACTAGCGTGCACGAATCTATCGGATTTTCCCCAGCTGAGCTGTATATGGGAAGATCTCGCACACCCATGACGCTTCTTTATGAGAAACTAGCGGGGGCAGATGAAGCGAGGGTAAGCTCGGTAGTTGAGCACGTTTTCAACTAATAACCGATTGAAGCGGTCGCGTGAACTCGCTCACGAGAAAATGACGGAAGAACAGAAAAAGCGTAGGTGTGGTATGACCGGCAAGGCGGTCCTCCGCGCAGTTTTGAGATAGGCGCGAAGGTGCTGGTTCTGGCGCCTAACAAACGCGAACATCGCTGTGCAGTGGATTGGGCCGGGCGAGGTTCGCGAGAAAATGTGGAACAGCAACTATGTAGTGCAGATGCCAGGGAGGAAAGAACCACGCGTATATCTCACGTCAATATGATGAAACGGTACACCAGCGTACGGGAGTACGTGAACTTTTCTCGGCTCTGCGACGGTCTCAGCCGCAGGTGAGGGAAGACGCGTTAGAACCACTACGCGTTGAGATTAGATTCCGACGACTTCGACGGCGAGGAAATGCTCAACGGCACGGACGTTGAACCCGAGTTCGTGACGCACTAAAAAACCGTCATTTGTAGATACAGGTGCATTTTTAGTGAAAAGCCTGGTTTAACCGATTCACTACAATGGATATTGAACTGACCGACATTAATAAATCCGTTCGCAGTGTACCCTACCGCATGTCGCCGAGAAGACAAAGATACTGGGCGGGAAGAGATAGAGAAAATGCTTCGTCGACAATACTCATTGTGGAGCGGAAAGCGATTTCACGTCTCCCATGATTTTAGTTGAGGCACCGGGAAAAGAAACCGAGGCCCTGTATTGATTAATAGGCGCCTCAATCAGGTTATCAAACGAGTATTTTCCTTTGCCAAATTCTAGAAGAACGTATTGAACAGGTAGCGGCAGCTAAAATCATTAGTGTATTAGATCTGAGTAGTGCTTCTGGCAAATAGGTCTTACGGATAGGGCGCAGAGGTATTCGGCGTTCGTGACCAGTTTTCGGACGTATCGGCGCTTAGGTTGCCCTTCGGGAATAAAAAACGGCCCTTATCAATGCTGTAAAAATTATGGGCACTTTACTAAAAATTGTCAGGAATTGCAAGTGCCGTACCTCGACGATATCGCTGTGTTTAGCAATTCTTGGTCTGAGCAACATACGGCATCTGGAGACAGTTTTCCAAATTTTAAAATCTGCCAAACTAACGGTACAGCCACGCAAGTGTTTGTTCGCGCGCTGACGTGAAGTACTTAGGATATGTAGTCGGGAACGGGAAATTGCGGCCGGCCGAGGGCAAGGTACCAGGCTATTCAGAATTTTCCCAGACCCCGAGTCCAAAAAACAGGTGCGTTCGTTACTCGGATGGTCGGGTACTATCGTAGATTGATACGCCGGGTTTCGCAGACAAAGCGCGGCACTGACAGATGCGCTGCGGGGGCGTGAGCGCCAAGGCAAAATTGTTGGACGGAAGCATGTGAGGCTTCTTACAATGAGCTTCGGCAGGCGCTCTGTGAAAAGACAGTGGTGTATGCACCGGATTATGCTAAAGAATTCAGACTTCAGGCTGATGCATCGAAGAGAGCTATAGGTGTAGTTCTTTATCAAATTAATGACGAAGGTATAGAACAACCGGTAGTATTTTTGAGTCGTAATTAAATGAGGCTGAATCCAATTAATGGGACGAACAGAAGTCGAGTGTTTGGCTCTAATTTTGGGCTTAGATAAACTCAATTATATCTCCGACGGGGCAAGCCACGATTCAAATTGAAACTGACCCCACAACCCCTAGTTTGGGTTACGTAACACGGCGGGCAAAATCCCAGATTATTACGTTGGTCTTTATTAATTCAGCATCTTGACTTAAGAATCATACACAAAAAGGGTTCTGAGAATGTAAATGCGATGGCTTAGTCCGCATGTACGATGAATGAATTGGATCTTCTGGCAGGTGTAAGAACTCACACGTTCGTGACACTGTAATAAATGTCGGTGAAAATGATGTAAATAAATTGTAAATTCAAGGGTATTTCAATTTGTTTTGTGTTATTGTTTTCATATGTAGATGCATACATGCGCCAATAAATCTAGTCTATGCCGGCACATGATGATGTCCAGATTTTGTAAATGTATATAGCAGAATATTCATGTACTTTATTTTTTTCAGAATTAATTTGTACTTCAAGAGCTATCACGGTACTACTGATTTGTATAATATAAGGGTATTTTTAATGTAATTCAAGAATTTTTCAGTTTGTATGTCAAAGAAATTGGTGTCTGTTCAATGTGTATAGTAATTAAGGTAAATGGCAACATAGCTAGGAAAGAGGGCACACGCCCATAGATTTATATTTTGTAATTTAGACAGGTTTTGGTTTTTGTACTTTTCTGATTGTTTAACGAAAAATTTAGAATGTGAGGTCAACACCAGGGTTAATTAGTTAGCAGAATTTTTTTCTGTGCACATTTTGCTGCGAAAAAAAATTCTACCCCGAGCATGGGAGGGTCTGTGGCGTCGTTAACACGAGGGCCAGAACCGTTAGGTTGGTGAAAGTCGCTGCGGGGAAGGAAGGTGTTACAGCCTGAACATCCGGGAGTTTTGCGCTCGGGCGCGGTTGACTCAGGTAGTGCCGGCGAGCCAAAAATCGGAGCTGTAAACTCCGAGGATGCCTGCCGGCGAGCCTCGTTTACGGAAGCAGGCAGGCAACCTGAGAATTCTGTGTCTGTGGGCGTAAACCAAAGCTGGCCTGCGAGCCATCGCCCAGTGCGAGTCTATCTATGGAAAACAGTGGGTGGGGGTGTCAGCCTCAACTATTTAACCGGCGCCATCTGCGCCCGCGCTCTCATTCAGTTTGCAATCGGTAGCTTGTTACGCGTATGTACAAGGAGGGTGTAGGAGTGAGGGCGAGATGTCGGAGAGTAAGGGTCAGACAATCTCACGTGCCTGTAGGCACACGGTCGCCACGACGGGTTAACTTTTGGCGTCAGGCATGGTGACGGTAATTGTCACGGGACAGAGGTCCGACGGCGCGCGCATCACGCGGTGGCTTGTGTTTTCTGCTGGCGGTAAAGCAGTGTTCTGAAAGGAAAAGGTTGCCGGAGTGTTTTAATATTAGCATTCATTGTACTTGTACATAATCTTAGAATATATTATTTTTCTTTTGTTACTGAAATTTATTTCTTATTTCACTACGTCACACGCTCACGGAATGGGGACCTCATTGACGTATGATGAAGGCGATGCAAAAGAAGGGGTTCCACAAGAGGAAGAGGCATTGGAGGGCGCCAAGACTGCATTGCGATACTTACTGACAGTGGGCAATGCAGATCAAGAATGGAGAGAGTACGAACTCTGGAGAAATATCTCGATAAATTACTAATGGAAAATATACGCAGCAAACAATTTAAAAAAATAACTGATTTTTTAGGTCAAATTAATATATTGAAATTTTCAGTTCGTGCTGTTAATGTATTTTGATATATCTCTATATTAATAAAATAAATCACTACGGAGAAATTTTAACTATTAAATTTTCAAATCATTGGATATAGTGAACCAAAACTGTTACTCCCCAGAAGTTCACTATACTCGGAGTCGACTGCAGTTATCACGTCGCAATGATATGCACAAGATTTTAATCTTAATTTCGGTTGCTTCATCGTGAATCTCGGAATTTCAATGACCATAATATTTAAGGATATAATAAAATATAATTGGGGGAACAAATAAAATCCATTTCTTCTGTCCCCGAGGGCTAATACATACGACGTGCCTTTACTTTCATCGTTTTTTGAACAACACCCTTCGAATGACGCGCCTTTGTAATGAAATTTTGTCATTGAATTTTCCCTTGCCACTAAAAACGTACATGCCCAGTATTTTATCCTCACCTTTTCTACCAAGTTTTTTGCAACATGAAAACAAAGCAGGTCATTATTTCATGGCGAATTCTTGTTGTTCGATCTTATTGATGACTGTTATACTTAACGGAGATTTTAGGAACATTGTAGTTCCGTTGGGGCATTATAACAAGACAACTCATTTCATTCAGTGAAAAAGAGTGAGAGGCAGGGAAGAGTCGTAACAAGAATGCGCCCAGCGCCACGTACTTCATGAAGACCTCCTCCATGGTGGTGAGCGAGACGCCGTAGCTGAGCACGTGCAGCGCCTCCCGCTGCTGCTCCAGCTCGCGTAGCATGGGCTCGAAGCGCGGCGCGTGCTCCTCGTCCAGCTGGTAGCTCAGCTCCGACCCCACGTCCTGCGCCGGCGCCAGCCCCGCCACGTGGCGCGCCAGCAGCGCCGTCACGGCCGCGGCGTCGCAGCGCGCGCCCTTCACCACCACCAGGCGGTAGCCCGCGCCGTAGCGCTTCTTCAGGAAGAAGGGCGACCCGCAGCACTGCAGGCGCCCGCCCGCCATGATGGCGATGCGGTCGCCCAGCAGGTCGGCCTCGTCCATGAAGTGCGTGGTGAGCAGCAGGGTGCGGCCCGCCTTCTCCTCGCGCAGCAGGTCCCACAGCGCGCGCCGCGCTGCGGGGTCCATGCCAGACGTCGGCTCGTCGAACATCACCACCTGCCAACCACGCACGCCTTGTTCCACGGAGAGTCCTGCTCCAACCGATTTCGCTCGAGCACCTGTCGCACGGTACTTGGGACTCCGCCAGGTGAGTCACGTTTTCAAGAGTAAAACGCAAAATTAGAAATGCCGCCAAGTTGAAATCAAGGGGTACAAATGAGTATGTGAAAATGAAAAGAGCAGTTAACCTATAAGGCTGACAGAAGAGGCGAGAATGTTTCTTACGTACATTGATTTCATAGTTCTGCAAAGCTAGAGCACAGGATATTCCACCTTTTCCTTCCAGAGGCTAATCAAAGTCGACAGGCTCATTGCTGTGTCCTGTGAATCATCCTAGCGCGAGAGGGGGCAGAACCCTTGAAGATGGAACGTATTGCAGCATTCTAGTACCAACCCTTCGCACCCCATCATTCAGCTTAAAGGGACTCGGATGTCTCTCTCAAGATCGCGGGATTCTCCGATGCACTACATTGATTCAGAATTTGTCAAATGAAAGAAAGAGATTTCCCGAGTGAAACGACTGAGGAAGTTTGCGTGCCCTTACCTTCGATTTCCCGCAGAGCGCGACGCCCGCAGCCAGCTTCCGCTTCATACCGCCAGACAGCGTGCGCGACTGTGCGTGCTCTTTGGGCTCGAGCTGCAGCAGTCTCACGTACTTCTGGATCTCGTCCTCTAGCTCCTTGCCAGTCAGTCCTTTCAGCTGCACAGGAAAGCGATTGGAATCAGTTTCGAAGTCATACTTCGTTAGGATCGTGGGAGCTACAAATGAATCTCCAAAAGTAAGTAAAAGTAGTATGAGTTATCAATATCACATGAAGCATGCTTAAAAGATGAATGGGATAAGTGGCGATTGAAAGACGAATGACGAAAAGTACTAATCTTTCGCCGTTAAAATTATTTGGTTCAATTCTTCACTGATAAAAATTATAGTATTTTACCCCCTCCTTTCGAGCAAGTTTCAGATGCGCACATTGGACGTGTTTCCATTGTAAAAGGGTAATATGTCCAGGGATGAACATAGAACGCAGAAAGGTTCACCACTGAGCCATCGCAAAGCGCACCCCGTAGGCTCATTATATTCGATATGCAAAGTTAAACTTTCGTTCAGATTTATATCATATTACGAATTTCATTAGACAGCTTTATTAGCTTCCAAACAATTGTAACAGTTGGGACCTCACAATAATCCTTATTACATTTAATAAACGTAACTGTTCGCAGTTTTACTTTGCAGGTGGAAGAGCTCATGAGACCGAATTACCTTCAAGTATTTCTCCCCTGTTTTTTTACAGATTTGTAGCACGTACCTTATTCGTTGAAGAAAAAGTGTTCAAGCACTGTAAACTTGGGTAAGAGCATATGCTAAGGTGGGTGTGAGAAAAAGAGGGAGAGGGTTAGCACACATCGAAGGGCACATTGGGTGCCCTTAGCACAGTCGTAGGCTGTTTGGGCGAAAGAGAGGGAAGGATAGCTAGCATCCACCTTGCCGAAGAAGTAGAGGTGCTCGCGCACTGTGAGCTCGTCAAAGAGCACGTTGTGCTGAGGGCACAGACTCAGGCTGTTTGGGCGACAGAGAGGGAGGGATAGCTAGCACCCACCTTGCCGAAGAAGTAGAGGTGCTCACGCACTGTCAGCTCGTCGAAGAGCACGTTGTGCTGAGGGCAGAGACCCAGGCTGTCGCGGGCCGCGTCGATGTCCGTCACCACGTCGTAGCCGTTCACCAGCGCTGAGCCGCTCGTCGGGGTGTACATTCCTGTGCGCAAGGTCAGACCTAGCTATAGATGCGGTCGTTTAGGTCAAGGAGTGGCTTGGGAAGGTCCTGAATTACTAATTTCGATTCGCATAATAATTATGTAGTAGTTATGCTTGCAAGACAACACAAAACGGGTACTAAACATCACGAGTACTAAACATCACATCGTGCAAGCAACTATGCGAATGATCACAGAATACAGATGGGTGGAAATAAAGTGAAGAATGCTGGAAGTGTGAAAATAAGACAATTTTCAATCTTTAGTGTGATCTGTCGCTATAAACGATATGCCTTCGCTGAGATTACAATTCCTTACCAGTGAGCATAGACATTGTAGTTGTCTTGCCGGCGCCATTGTGGCCAAGAAGAACGGTAATCTGTCCCTCATACATGTTGAGGGTCAAGTTGTCTACTGCCACCTTGTTTTTGTTGAATACCTATGGGCAGGAACATGGAGATTTTTACAAATTTGTTTCATTAACAATACAAAATCTGGAGTCTACGATTTAACATCGATTTCATTTTGATTGATGACTCTAGGCTCGTCAACTGCTAAGATCATAACTCCCCTACGTTTTGGGTGAGCTTTTATCGAGAGAGGTGTCGGTGATCTTCCCTAGCTGGATGGCGAGACTCGGCTTGTGAGGATTTTCCCCAACCAGGTCTCTCCCATCAGTGCGGGACCGCCGCAGCCAAGACAACTTCCAAGCTCCCGACTGGCCTCCTGACATGCGTGGTAGTGTAGTTCCTGTAAGTGCGCGTGTGTAAGGAGCGAAGAAAAGACAAGGAAGAGGAACGAAAGCTCGCGCGAGGTCCGCGATCTGTTACGGTACTGTTCCGTGATTTGTCTGGCGTTGATGGGAAAAAACACGAAAACTATCAATCAGAGCATCCGGCCTTTAGTATTATCTTCCAGATAGCAGACGAACTCGTCCTAGCTGACAAGCTAGTGTCTGAAAATCACACTAGTCCGGAGGCCAGTCGGGGGAGCAGAGCTTGTCCCGGCTGGGGCGGTGCCCTGCTGGAGGGAGATACCTGGTTGGAGAAAATACCCGCAAGTAGACGGGTAGGTTGGCGCCGGATCTCGCCAGCTAGCGGGGGGGGGGAATCACCACCACCTCCCGCGATGAAAATATTCACTACACTTACGGGTCTAATGGCCTCAGCAGTTGACGTGCCCAGAATCACTAATCAATCAATCACACCCCTCTCTCAGCCCTCCTCACCTTGCGCATGTTGCGAATCTGGACGCCCGCGATCGCCTTGGCGGGCTCCTTCTCGAAGTTGGCCTCGACCACCTTGGGCGGCGTCACGGCGTAGTCCGCAGGCCGGGGCTTGGTGCCACACCAGTACGACTTCTGCGGCACCACACAAATACTATCACACACACACACACACACACTGAATGCACGATATCTCCATTCAAAGCGGAGAGCGAACGAAGAACAAATTCAAAGTCCGTGCGGGCACGATTCTGCACATGAGCACAATTCGAAATTCTGGCGTTCACGGAGTACGTGTCCGCGATAAGGCATGCAGAGCGGAAGAGAGTTTGCTTTCCGAATTTTCTGTTACATGCAATACCGAATTTCCCCAAAAAGACGACATTAATACGAGAAATTACGGCTTTCGGCATTTGGCAAATAAAATGCAGATGTTGGTGAACATGTACGAAATTATCGGAGTCGTTGAATAGTAATGAAACTTAGTCATTGATAAAAAACTTGCATTGCGTGGTTATCACGACAGGGTCATTTCCTCGTTTACGAAACCAAGAGCAGCTGCATTTGCACGTTATTCAACAGGAGATAAAACCGGAGTAGAAGTAACGCCGTTTTCCTGTTTCTCTTTCCTTCTTTACCTGCTGTATGGCGCCAGAAATACACAAAGTTCGTGAAAGTCCAGTCGAAGATGTGGTTTACGAATAAAGCACTGAACTCACCTGCAGAGGGAAGTACCAAGGCTTGGGGACTCCGTAAGACCCGGGAAAGACAGCCTCCACGTAGAGGGTGACCACTAGATACAGGAGGCTGTCTAACAGCAGCATCACTAAAATGTGGCCCATGGTAAGATTGTCGTCTTGTGTTGCCGGCTGCCAGACGTTATCCCAACGGAGTCCTTCGCCTACAAGGAGACAAGTGAAAAGCTACACATCACCGATTCGCAATATCTAAATTTGAGAGGTGAAATTAAGGGCACATTTCATATGAATATATAAAAAAATATTGATTCCGTTTTTGGAGAGAATTTGACACAGAAAAAATGCCATGAAATGTAAATTTAATTTTATGAGGTATGACACAGAAAAAAGTATTCCACACACACACACACACACACACACACTAAGATGGGCTCTTTCGAATATAAAATTAAATTAATTATACATACGAACCGTTGCATAAACAACAACACGGTAAAACCACCTCAAACAGCCGCGACGATTAAGCGACCACAGCCACTTTTTCGTGGAACGGATTGATTTTTCCACAACACACGTGCAAATATTCCCTCTTTTCAGGAGTCACCTGACTAAGCAGTCAGCGGCCTGCACATTTCGTACGTTCACCTTTGTTAAGCAGTTAACGCAAGCAATTTTAAATTGTATGAAGCGGAAAGTGGTGGAGATTACTGTTGATTTAATATCTTCCAACGAGTGGACGCATCGTCAGATTACGTCGAATATCGACATTTAGCGAATTCTTCGAATGACGACGCTTAGCTTGCAGGAGGGTTCAAGCAACAACAGATCATTTTAATAAATATCTCACAATGAAGCAACGCGATATTTTCTCTTATTTCACATTATTTTATATGTTGTGCTTCTCTTATGTTGCGAATGTGTTAAGGACTTGTGGAGAACCATGTGCGCGAATTCAATCTAAAGAACATTCGCAAATTCCTTCGTCAGTCAGACTTGCAGTACAGCTTCTACACGATATGAATATCATCATCTACTGTAGTTTGCTCATTTGATTTGTGCAGGCCAAGTTTCTCTATTAACAGAATGAGTATTAACTGAATTAGTGTTATGTCAAAGATGTGTTTCGATATTAGCCGCATTGAGAGAAGGCAAATAATCTTTAAAAAAACGGGTTTAAATTGTATTATCTTTCATGGCATTAAAAGGTTAAAGAAAACATTTCACTCGATTAGCACAATTATATTTTATATATGCTTCCAGTAATCTCATAGCCCTGATTAAGCACTACATCCACAAAACTGGCCAATTTTTGCTGGAATCATTGATACCCTTTTCAGTCAGGTTTCACTGTACTGTCTAAACTGATGATTCGTTGCTGTAATATGACAAGAGTGATAGGAATACTTTTTATGTCCCAGCAAAGCGAAAACGTCCAAGAACTTAAAATACACCATTAAAGCATAACTGAAGTATTCGCCCGAAACAGTTTAAACAATTATGGAAGACTTCAGAGCAACAATAAATACCTACCGGTGCCTTCAAACATGACTATCAGCTGGAAACCGTGTGCCATGGCGGTGTTGGAGCAGACAGAGGCGAGAAGCTTTTCCGCTAAGCTCAAGGTTTCATACTTCTGCTGCAAGAAGCTATAAGGCGCATACGTCAGAAACCACGCCAGTCCTGCCATTGTTGCTGCAGTGTTGGCTGAAAAAATAAATACGAAACGTATTTAAAACCGCAGGGTTTTTAACAACAACTGGGAGAACACTCTTAAGTACAGCAGGACCTCGTTAATCCGGACCTCTTTAACCTAGACCGGATAATCCGGACCTCTTTAATCTAGACGACCGGATAATCCCGACCTCTTTAACCTAGACAACCAGATAATCCGGACCAACGTTGGAAAAAAATGTTTAGAGTGGTAAACTAAGATTTGTTTTACAGACGAAAATTGCTACTCTCAGTAGGTTTATTGCTCGAATTCATTGACAGCCATTGAGCTCGTTGCCCCCACCCCTTCTGCCAGCCCTCGCCTTCCCCTCTTCCGGCTATTGAATGCCCACGGAGGGACAGGAGAGAGGGAGGAAGTGGTTCTAGGGATGCCATGGGCATTCTCGGGACTAGTTGTTACCGATGTATAATTTGTACAGTGTAAATACATATTACAATGTGATTTTCGGTGGTGTGCCGATAATTTTTAAACTTCATTAAATATATGTTTGGTAATAGCATGATTTTTTGGTTTATCCGCCATTCTCAGATTCTTTTGCCAAAATCGACATATAGACTGTCGAATCCATATCCAGGTTCGTAACTGGGATCGGTCCCCCAAAACCAATTCGGGTTAACGAAGATCTACGGTTAAGCGTTTAATTGGGGTAATCTAAACAACGCTACACAGGTATCTAAAACGCGTTAGATGGATCTTTGACACTCATTTGAATATTAACACCCTCATCACACGCCAAGATGTTTTGTTTGGATATCGCATAAGCCACAGATGGTTTCAATTAGTTTGTGGCATGGAACGCAATGACAAACCACTTCATATTAATAATAGCACTTATATTATACCATAACACACGAACGCACCTGAGTAGCGTATAGCTTCAAAGCAGGGGAAAGTCTAAGACCAAATTAGGAAAAGTAGTCGAAATAAATACGATATATTCATTCCACTCCGACGTCAACTCATGCATACAATTTGCGAAACGAATAGCTAATTAACTTATTCCCCAATTGGCATGTACTGTGAAATACACTTTTTCAAATTAATTTTCCTTCCAGAAGCCTCAAATGATATTCTTGGCAACACAGTACGCACAGTTCACGTGGCAACATTCGAGTTCTCACCTGTGGAGAAGAAGACGGAAATCATGAAGCAGAAGCAAGTGGTGGCGACCATAAACATCAGCATGAAGACGAAGATGAGCGTGCCCGAGGAGTGGGTGAAGACGGTCATATCCGAGTCGGGGTACCACTTGGCCTTGAGCAGCACCACGATCAGCACCACCGACACCAGCAGGAAGATGATGGTCTTGATGAACCAGGCGAGCCAGTGCAGGGCGCCGGGCAGGCCCATGATCTTCATAGCTTCCTACACACGCACAGGGCCTGAGCAAAAGCTCGGAGCATGCGGTACGTACTCTTTTTTTTTGCTTCTCCTTTCATTTATTTTAGATTACTAGACAAAATTAAATTCATCCGATTCGAATATTATTTAGGTTTACTAGCATTCAATGTCCTTAACTCGTCGTTTTATAAACTGAAGTAAAACAAAATCAATATTATGAATGAATCATTTCTTAATTGAGCATATATGTACTTGTTATGTACTAATAATACCAGACCAGTATTTCATTAAATCCTACGAATATATTAACTTCAAGTAAGCAGACGTTTGTTTCAAAAGCCATTTTCCCAAAAACCTTAATTAAAATTCTCCTCTGTCAAATACTTTTAAAGGGAATACATATTGCTAAGATTCTTTTGACAAAAATCGACATTTTCATACATTACTGACACTTAAAAACTTTTTATTAGCATCTGGTGTAAACGTAAGTAGTATTTTTTGCTCATAAGTGCCTACTTTCGACATTTACAGAAACCCTAAAAGGCACCTCGCGCGCACAAGGACGCGATCTCGGCACCCGAAAAGTTGTGACTTACTACACGAGGATAAACAATAACAGACGACAAAAATAGAAATAGGAAAACTCAATGGATAGGTAATTTTGCTAGCTAATACGTACGTTTCACGAGGGACCAGAGTTTAAGTTTTCAACCGATGCGGCGATGAATTCAAGAAGGATTTTATTTTGAAATCCTTGAAAAGTCTATTTGAGTTTCTTTATGTATATGATAGCTCTAAAGGTTTGGGGAGCATTATTATGGTCAATTTTCAGAAATTCCTTGAAATTATAATAAAAGTTTGCGATATGTGACGTCATCAAAAATCAGATCGATCAGCAGCACCTTGCGCCGCGCAACATTACACAAGGACCTGGAATGAAAAGACCCGCTGCCTCAATCCCTTTAGAGAGACGCCAGGGAACCTTACACATCAGTATTATCACGTATTAGTCCAATTTGGACGATGCATTTCGCACATCAATCCTGATTCACTTTCGCTTTAAACGCTTGAATAGGACATTAAATAGAGTACCCCGTAGCGTTCATAAGTCCGTTCTTACAATATCGTCTCCGAACGTCGATGTTGTGATTCTCAAATAGTAGCGGTGTATACCGTCTACTAGGACGGCTAGAACATCCTTCATATTTACAAAATTATTGATCGCTCAAATGAAGAACCAAATATGAATGTAAAAAACAACAAAAAAATATTCGCATGCGGTCACAAATTATAAAGTTCGTTGCCAAGTTATAGTAAGTTGGAGCCACTTCTGAAAAAAATTAAAAATATCCTATGATATCAAATTAAGTTTAAAGTTACCCCAACACTTCAAAGATTCGTTTCATATCTGCAGGGTCTGTAGAAACCTCGGGGTCTCAAATTCTCCACATTTGTCTGGTTTAAGGGAACACCTTGAATAATATTCTGGTGTTAGAGTTCTTCCCTCTGTATATGGTCGAACGATTAGAAAATAATTCGTTTTTCAGTTTCAAGGACTGAAAGGCGAAATGACAAGGCGAAAGCCAACGGGGCACAAGACAGTTGGCATACCTTCCTAGAAAGCACGTATTCTTTGCGCTATTCCCAGAGTTCTTTCCCTAATACACACACTACTTGAATTACGAATTGTTAAGGCGAGCGATTGGTTCTCAGCACCTTGATCTGCTTCTCCTTCTCCGTGGTGATGACCTTGACGGTGGCGATGCAGGTGTAGACGAAGCTGAGCATGATCATGAGCGAGATGAAGCTCTGCAGGGCCTCGAGCAGCAAGTCCTCGATGTACTCGGGGTAGGAGTAGCGGCGTAGCTTCAGGTTCGGCACCAGCGACAGGCTCCTTGGGTCCGTCTACACCAAACACACAGCTTTACAACTCCGATTTAAACGTAGTGGCACTTCAAGGTCACACGCTGGAATGAGAGAGGGGGGGGGGGAGACTTTCAACAGACAATATTGAGCTACAAAACCAAAAGTTTAAGCCGTAACGAGGCTCCCGATTGGACGACAGTGTCCGTCCGTCCGTCCGTCCGTCCGTCCGTCCGTCCGTCCGTCCGTCCGTCCGTCCGTCCGTCCGTCCGTCCGTCCGTCCAGCTCGGCTTGAAGGGTCACCGTATTTAAATTGAAGTGTAGCCCGTTAGTGCCCGAGATCAATAGCAATCATATTTGGCAATTTTCTAGTAAAGGTTAATTTTAATTAAACCAATACAGTTTTAATGTAGTGAAATAAAACAAAATGTCAGCACAACATACCCGTAAATTATCAGATAATGGATTTGAAATAATGATTAAAATAACAGTCGGTTCATTGGGAAACATTTCATACATTATAACCAAGCAAATAAAAGTTTGCTTTTGACGTATAATTTTCTATTCATTGTTTTTAGTTAACCTTTTAATTTGCATTGAATTCATCTAAATGTATATTTTGTTGATTTATATAATTTTTCGATAAATAAACCAACATTTTGAAAATATTTGCACGCTATATATTGATTAATGAAGTTGCAAAAATAAATTGAGATAGAGTACGTCATCTTCGTGATTCTTATGACCATCATTCATTATACCTATAATACAGCAGTTGAAACGCACCTGCCTACATTTTCCCGATCGTACCGAAAAAAAGAGACAGACTTCTCAATTAATGGTCTAACAACTCCCCTCCCTCAAACTCTGATATCTATACAAATAATTTATGTACTTAAGATATTAATACTGCTACAAATTTTTATCTATAAAATTTCATAATGTAGAAAAAGCTCGTTCAATTTCGGATTGATTGCGCAATTCCGATCTTTTAATGTTCAAATTAACAATAATTTACGGTTTCTCTGAATTTAAAATAAACAATTAAAAAAGTGAAATTCGAATAGTAAATTCGAACGAAAATCATCTAGACCTTTTCAATTAATGTTTTTAAATGTTTGAGGAAAGATGCGACATTCCAATATTAAATATACCCGTCATTTTGTGTAGATGAATTGGTACATTTCCAATATGCACACTGTGTTTCCTCTTGTCATTTCAGGCATAATGTAGTTTATATCGCTAAACAATCGAATTAAAAGCCTTAAAATAAAGTTATAATCGAGCGCAGCTAAGGGTTTTGTTCCCTAGCTCTCTTTCTCACTCGTTGACTGGTTTGAATGAGAAGTTGCGTATTGAAAAAAAACATTACATAATTATTAATATATTTATTGATATTTGAATTTTCTAATTTATGAAATTCAGAATAGTCGTGCTCGACCCCGTCTTATTTTATCCAAGTCACATTCTTTGGAGTGTCACCACCAGCCGACGCTTTTAAGTTCATCAACGTTTCACTGATCAAAGGGGCAGAGAGCGCTCACCCCAGGCGGCAGGAGCGGCAGCAGCTCGGACGCGAACGACGCCGCCTTCTCCGTGAAGCAGTAGGCGGTGACGGCGCGCGTCACCAGGAACTGGATGGCCAGGAAGCCCTCCAGGTGGTAGCCGGGCGTCGGCCCGAACGTCTGCGCGAGCCAGCGAGCGAGCGGCGGTCAGGGCAGCAGGTGGAACGCGCGGGGGCAGGCAGAGCGCGGGAGGAGAAGCGAGGGAGGCGAGCATTACAATGGCTTATTCCCGAAAGAAAAGAGTGATTGCGGAACAAGGTGAATGGTAGGGGGTGAAACTGAAGAGATATTGAGTGAGTAATAAGGAAGGAGGGAGCGTGAAAGGGAGAGCGAAAGACAGAGGAGAGAGAGAGCACCAGGGACAGAGACAGAGAGACGGCGATAAGAAGCGAGGAGGGAGGG